TGCCTACAGTAGTGAGGCTCATTTCTAATGAATTTCTGGCCGTTACAGCTGAAAATGCTTCAGGCCTTGGGCGAAAGAGTGGTTCAGTGCACAGTCAGTACACTCAAGTTGGAATGAGTGGACATGAATGTGCGCAGCGTGGGAGTGGGAAGGAAAGGGAAGTGACCATCCACAACATCAGTGATCTGAGCAACCATGACCAAAAGCTGCAGTTCTGATGGTGTCAAATGACCTTGAAACATCTTTGGAGGCACAGATGACGATCCAGACGTGGACCACTGTCAACTCTCGTTTTGACACTGCTGAGTAAAACCACACAAACTATCACTTTCTCTGCCGATTTCTGAGCTCACATGACACATTGTTGGATTGGTGCAGTGTACTGTGAGATTGTCGCTGTCAGGGAACATTCTTGAATGCCTGAAATAGCCAGCTGCTGACAGTTTCCTGAAGTTTCCCAGGCCAGCGTGCTCCCAAGATGGAGGTTGGTCAAAGCAATTTACAGCTCCCTCTAACTTTGTGTTTTAGTGTTCCATTGAATCAATTGAAGAGAACTCATAACAGAAAGATATCTGACAATTATGGAGATTTCACCCTCATTCTATCTCCTCCATCTCTGCCTTCAAATGCAATACAGTTTGCATACAGTATCAGACTTTGTGTTGAATATTTTCATTTAAATATTTCTTTTGATGATTTAGGTGTTATGCTGTTGGCAGGGGACAATATTTATCAGAAGAAAAACGAGATGGCTCCACACACGTCCAACTTCATCATCATATATTATTATCTCATAGCCTCAGCAGGGCTGTGAATATGCAGGAGGACAGTGTGTCTTCTTCTCTTGGCTGTACCATTATGATTCAGCCGAGCCTGAAATTACATATTATACAGTATCTGCCTATAGAAAGGCTGAAAAATATTCACTTAAATGACTGGAACTCAGCCTTGTTAGTGCGATAACAACTGTAGGGTGTGAGAAGACGTCCATCTTGGAGATGAATAATGTCAGTTGATTTTGTCCTGTTGCACACATGGGGTGCTGGTATGTGATTTGAGCTGGAGCTTTAGAATAGAAAGGGGGCTGTATGGCACTGCCAAGCCTGAGGGATCACAAAGCAAGACACCAAATGGAGTAAGACTTCCTTTGTTTTCCCTGCACACTCATTATACAAAATCTCTCAACCCTGAAACACTGACAAGAACAGTGTTGGCGAGGAAAATGCTGCTGAATCATCAGAGAATAGTGCAGAAATACTTCAGAACAAAGTTTTTGCTGGTGTGGTTGGAAATAGACTTTCCATTTTACTTTAGAGTCCATCATCACATTAAATAATCTAAAAACTACAAAAAGAAAAGTACCTTTGATAAACAATATAAGTGATGAAAATTATCAATTTCCAACTGAATTCTTTAATCTTTTTTCCACTTTACAAACACATGCTTCATGCAGCTTTTTCCTCTGACTACTTTTTGCTCAGGAAATAAAGAGCAACACCAAAGAATCTTTTATGGGTGTATTCTTGAGCTAAATGGGTCTTTAAAAAAAAAGGAAAAAAAAGAAACACCAATCAGTCTGGCTTTTACAAACTGCAGTTTGTTTGTTTTTTTTTATCAGCTTTGAGATGATGCCGGTCTGAGCTGAGAGGGAGAAAGAGACAGTTACAAGTCAAAATGAATGACAGAAACGTAACAAAAATAGCTGTCAGAATATTTCACAGTGCAAAAATCTATTATATACACAGTATCTGCTCATATTTACATGGGCATGAACATACAAAATATACAGAATCTGGCTTCCCCAAACCCAAAGGATTGATAACATGTCTTACAGTGTCCAAGGCAAATCACCATTTTAAAGATGGAGAGGAAGATGAATCTTATAGTAAAATAAATAATATACTTTAAAATTTCACGAGAATATGTATAGTACTAAACCTACTCTGCCATCATAGGACGATGATGTCATTTGCTCATATTGATTGTCACTCTCCGTTTCCTGCTTATACCTGGCTATAACAGCAAAGTCATAGAAATATAGTATTGCAATAGGTCCAAATCTGTTTTCATTCAAGAGGGGATTAAGGGTCGATTGTAAAGTGAAGCGTGTGCTGATCATGAACTTGCTGTTGGCTAAATTGCAGATTTACTGTACAGCTAGTAAAGAGCTGCATCTGTGACTTTGATAATTTGATTGATATGATTTGATTTGGTGACCTGATTAGACTAATTTAATGTTATTAGCTCACAGTGGTGAATGTTCAGATCTCTTCCCAGATAAACCTTCATTACATATTTGAATGTGATTTTTGTGTATCTATCTTGCAGAAAACATATGTTCACAATATATATTTAATTATATTAATAATTTATATTTTATTATATATTAATGTTAATTAATAAATCAATACATTACACACATTCACAGCCCTATTCTGTACTGTTAAATGTGCAATCTCATCTTAGGTTCACTATAGAGGTCCATGGATATACATTTTCAACTTCAACTTCATTATAACCCTCAATATCTCCTACAAATCCCTGTCAAACAGTTATTCCAGTTGACAATGACAAGAAACCTAAAAAATTATCACAGAAATGATGACCACACATTCAACAGATAATAACACAGTAGCACCCAAGTAGTCAGAAAATGTAGTGAATAGTGAGTCTGAAAGTAAAAATTAAAATGTCATGTCAGCCAAATTAGGTTTTTGAAAATCATTTGAAAAGTCTCATCATTTTCTATATTCTTGTTTTGTCCCATGAAAAGATTAATAGACCAAAATGTTCAGAAGTCCAAAATGAATCAATCCTTCTGACAAGTAATGTTCATGTAAGCAGAGCCTTATAAATCATATTCATCTGATTCAAGTAAATTGTTGTCCAAAAACGATTAAAATATCAATGAGCCAGACTGTTGTACTTGTTTCTTTGTAACAATAAACATGGTCGCTGTCATTTATGTTGTGTCAGTCCCAAATATACTGTCCTTCTACATACTATAGAGCTACAAATGAGTATTCATCCACAGCTGAATATAGTTCCTAACAAAAGCAAAATTTACTCCTGTTTGAGTCACATTTCCTGAAAAAGTGACAGGCTGTTTTAGAAAATTACTCAGCACTTTTTTAAAAAACTGGACAATTTTAAAAATGTAGGTCTTCAGTAGGAAGCAACAGGCTTGATGCTGAGCGTCACAAACAGAAAGTATTGAGAATTTGACTGAAACGTTGTTGGTTTTGTCTTTTCATGGGATTTGTTGACAATAACAACAACATAAAATATCATCAATCTCATCCTTCAAGATGTTCCCTTCATCTATCTTTTACAAAGATTGTAATTAACTCAGATTTTCTGTTAAGGTAGTCTGAGCTAGCTAGAGGTTTTATTGGCTGTTGGCTATATGCTGTAGGAAAATAAATGTTTTTTCCCTGGCTTGATTTAAAAGTCTGTTATTGGATATGTAATTTAGAAATTTTGGCTGCTGACAGAAAGTAAATCCATTGTGGTCTTGTGTTTATAATCACACTTAAATGCGCAATTCTTAACTTTCATCCTCCAAAATCTTATGACAAATCAACAATGACGTAAGTTATATGAATGTGTTTAAGACACATTTGTTTTGTTGACACTGCAACATCGTGAGCAAGATGTGAACCTTTATGAGAGGAATTTAAATCGATGCATGTATGGGTGTGATCCTCTCATCACCTCATCTTAAGCCAGCATTTCTTTTGCCACGGATGCTCATTCATACAAAAGGCTACAAATTTCATGAATAAATATGCAAGGAGTAAACAGAATATCACATTTTCAACAAACAGAAGATAGATTAAAGGCATCATGAGCATGACAAAAGATGATTGAGAATAAAATCAGACAGTGCAGCAGAGAAACTGCTTCTCTGTCAGAATCATTGGCACAACTGATAGCATATTTGACTTATAACACAGTGAAACAACTCTTGTGGCTGTTCAACCTCAAAATAAAGTTTTTTTATTCATGTTTTTTTTTTTCGTGTGTGTATATGTGCATTTAGCTTCTTTTTGCTTCTCAGCCCTGTGATGTTCGGCATCGGCACAAATACAGCAGCTGCAAAACAACAAAGCAGTCGGGAGTGCAGCATCACAGGACGAACACTTAGCACGTATTTAGGAACTGGAAAGAATAAAATATTAATAGAAAACAAAAATAAAACACTTTTTTCAAATAAAACATGGTGAACATAGATTTTGTACACATTTCCAGAGCTTTAAGCACAGAGGATCTTTAGAAGTTTTGATCCCTATCATGGCACATATGATCAGGTTTGGGATGTTGGTTGATGTGTGCATGTGTGTGTGAGTGTGTGTCTTTTGCTTCAGGGTACCACATCTGTGCTCATCTGGACACAGTACACCCCTTCATAGCTGTAACCAACATACAGTACCCTTTGGTATAGGATTCTACTTCACTTTGATAAGCATCACCAACACACCCTCATAACTGTCATTCACCTCTTCGTCATGTCAGTCATAACTGGTATCATCATCATCATCATCACTGTCGCATCCAGAACCACCATCATCTCACACAGAAAAATATCACCCCCCCTGGCTGTCATTGTCTCAGTCACAGTTAATTCCGTCTCCACTCCAGCGCAGGCCTCTGTCACTGTGAGCACGCTCACACAGTTTAGCAGCTTTAGGAAGTGACACATGTCAAAAGCAGCTCTTGTCTCATGCCACAAGTTCTCGACATCAAAGTTCTGAAAAAGCAGCTGTAACACAAATGTAAAGTTAAAATGAAAGTGTCAGTCTTGCAGCTAAACCATCTCCATCCCAATGATGCTCTTTATTTCCAGACCCGTATTATCGTCCTGGGCTGAACAAACCAGCATTAGCCTCTGAGATTTAATCACTGAGATATGGCGGGATTTGTTTTTCCACTATTACGCTACATCTCCTTCGCTCCTCCTTGGCCGCTCCCACCGCTACACTCTTTATCCTCAGTGTGACTCATGCGTATGTCTCTCCTGCTTTTAGTGCCACCAGTTCAGAGTCCTCTGTGTGGCGCCCATTCAAGTGTTCGCTGTTACAGTCATGGTGGTACATGAATGCGGGTACCTCAGTGATGGAGGTGGCTGTGTAGGATGTGGAGCGCATTGAGCAGTGGTCCTTTCGTCTCTGACCCAACTGTGTCTTATACTGCATCCACTGTCTCTTTAGAGCTGCCTGGACCTGGAGGTCACACACAGAAAAGAGAGAGTTCATTACTATGGTGAGAACATTGGAGTTTTTGTAGGAAATAATTGAAGGCTCTACTGCGTGACTCAATCATCAAAGTAGTCACATTTTTGTTGGCTTCACGTGAAAAAAAATACTTTAGTTTCATCAGTGTCAAGAAACTGAACTGTTGTTGTGAACATGATCCATACTTCATACTTCTTAATGCAAATGTCTTTTTTTTGTTTTAGTTGCTCAAACATTTTTCCAGAACGTTTTTTTTCTGTTCTACTCTGACCACAAAATGATTCCACCAGACGTCCAAATTTACATGCAAATCAATATTCGGTTGCATTGCAACGGGAAAAGGATGGCGCCCATGTAAACACCATCTTGTGACAATATTAATCCAACCAATGATGGTGATCTGCTGCAGCATGTGTGGGTCACTCACATTTCAATTGCATCAACAGATGTCAGTCAGTAAATGGAAACACCAACTTCACATTACTTGAAAGACGAGCATCATTAAAGGGAACAGAGATGTAATATCCATTGAGCTGTATGTTAAAGATCATATTGCTATACATTAGCACTCCCATCGTGCGTCACCCCCTCAGTGTGTTTGGGGATTCCACCCAATGGCAGATGTACATACGGGTGACATGTCTTACTATACTATGAAATTTTTATGCCTTACTATATTTTGACATTGTTGTGTCTTACTGCACTATTTTATAGCTTACTTTATGATTACATTTTTATGACATTTTATGCCTTAGTATACTATGAAATGTTTATGCCTTACTATACTATGATGTTTTTATATCTTGCTATACGATGACATTTATATGGGGCAGCATGGTATTCCAGTGTTTAGAACTGTTGCCTCACAGTGAGAAGGTTGTGGGTTCGAAGCCCGGGGCCAGCGTGCACTCTCTTTGGGTACTCTTGCTTCCCTCCACAGTCCAAAGACTTGCACATTAGGTTAATTGACAACTCTAACTGAAAGGCATTTTTTGTCTTAGTATACTAAAACATTTTATGCCATACTATACTATGATGTTTTCATGATATTTCATGCCATACATTTTTTGCCTTAGTACACTATGAAGTTTTTGTGACCTTTAATAACGTTTAACTGACGTTTTAATAATATTTCATGCCTATGACTTTTTTATGACATTTCATGCAATACCATACTATGACGTGTTTATGACATTTTGTACCTTAGTATACTATGAAATGTTTATGCCTTACTATACTTTGATGTTTTGTGACATTTTATGCCATACTGAACTATAATGTTTTTATGACATTTTTGACCTTAGTATACTATGATGTTTTTATGACATTTTGTGCATTACCCTACTATGACATTTTTATGACATTTTTTGCCATACTACACTATGTTGTTTTTAAGGCATTTCATTTCTTAGTATACTATGACGTTTTTATGACTTTTTATGCCTTACTATCCTTTGATGTTTTGTGACATTTAATGCCATACTGAACTATAATGTTTTTATGACATCTTATATGAAATGTTTATGCCTTACTATCCTTTGATGTTTTGTGACATTTAATGCCATACTGAACTATAATGTTTTTATGACATCTTATATGAAATGTTTATGCCTTACTATCCTTTGATGTTTTGTGACATTTAATGCCATACTGAACTATAATGTTTTTATGACATCTTATATGAAATGTTTATGCCTTACTATCCTTTGATGTTTTGTGACATTTAATGCCATACTGAACTATAATGTTTTTATGACATCTTATATGAAATGTTTATGCCTTACTATCCTTTGATGTTTTGTGACATTTAATGCCATACTGAACTATAATGTTTTTATGACATCTTATATGAAATGTTTATGCCTTACTATCCTTTGATGTTTTGTGACATTTAATGCCATACTGAACTATAATGTTTTTATGACATCTTATATGAAATGTTTATGCCTTACTATCCTTTGATGTTTTGTGACATTTAATGCCATACTGAACTATAATGTTTTTATGACATCTTATATGAAATGTTTATGCCTTACTATCCTTTGATGTTTTGTGACATTTAATGCCATACTGAACTATAATGTTTTTATGACATCTTATATGAAATGTTTATGCCTTACTATCCTTTGATGTTTTGTGACATTTAATGCCATACTGAACTATAATGTTTTTATGACATCTTATATGAAATGTTTATGCCTTACTATCCTTTGATGTTTTGTGACATTTAATGCCATACTGAACTATAATGTTTTTATGACATCTTATATGAAATGTTTATGCCTTACTATCCTTTGATGTTTTGTGACATTTAATGCCATACTGAACTATAATGTTTTTATGACATCTTATATGAAATGTTTATGCCTTACTATCCTTTGATGTTTTGTGACATTTAATGCCATACTGAACTATAATGTTTTTATGACATCTTATATGAAATGTTTATGCCTTACTATCCTTTGATGTTTTGTGACATTTAATGCCATACTGAACTATAATGTTTTTATGACATCTTATATGAAATGTTTATGCCTTACTATCCTTTGATGTTTTGTGACATTTAATGCCATACTGAACTATAATGTTTTTATGACATCTTATATGAAATGTTTATGCCTTACTATCCTTTGATGTTTTGTGACATTTAATGCCATACTGAACTATAATGTTTTTATGACATCTTATATGAAATGTTTATGCCTTACTATCCTTTGATGTTTTGTGACATTTAATGCCATACTGAACTATAATGTTTTTATGACATCTTATATGAAATGTTTATGCCTTACTATCCTTTGATGTTTTGTGACATTTAATGCCATACTGAACTATAATGTTTTTATGACATCTTATATGAAATGTTTATGCCTTACTATCCTTTGATGTTTTGTGACATTTAATGCCATACTGAACTATAATGTTTTTATGACATCTTATATGAAATGTTTATGCCTTACTATCCTTTGATGTTTTGTGACATTTAATGCCATACTGAACTATAATGTTTTTATGACATCTTATATGAAATGTTTATGCCTTACTATCCTTTGATGTTTTGTGACATTTAATGCCATACTGAACTATAATGTTTTTATGACATCTTATATGAAATGTTTATGCCTTACTATCCTTTGATGTTTTGTGACATTTAATGCCATACTGAACTATAATGTTTTTATGACATCTTATATGAAATGTTTATGCCTTACTATCCTTTGATGTTTTGTGACATTTAATGCCATACTGAACTATAATGTTTTTATGACATCTTATATGAAATGTTTATGCCTTACTATCCTTTGATGTTTTGTGACATTTAATGCCATACTGAACTATAATGTTTTTATGACATCTTATATGAAATGTTTATGCCTTACTATCCTTTGATGTTTTGTGACATTTAATGCCATACTGAACTATAATGTTTTTATGACATCTTATATGAAATGTTTATGCCTTACTATCCTTTGATGTTTTGTGACATTTAATGCCATACTGAACTATAATGTTTTTATGACATCTTATATGAAATGTTTATGCCTTACTATCCTTTGATGTTTTGTGACATTTAATGCCATACTGAACTATAATGTTTTTATGACATCTTATATGAAATGTTTATGCCTTACTATCCTTTGATGTTTTGTGACATTTAATGCCATACTGAACTATAATGTTTTTATGACATCTTATATGAAATGTTTATGCCTTACTATCCTTTGATGTTTTGTGACATTTAATGCCATACTGAACTATAATGTTTTTATGACATCTTATATGAAATGTTTATGCCTTACTATCCTTTGATGTTTTGTGACATTTAATGCCATACTGAACTATAATGTTTTTATGACATCTTATATGAAATGTTTATGCCTTACTATCCTTTGATGTTTTGTGACATTTAATGCCATACTGAACTATAATGTTTTTATGACATTTTATACCTTAGTATACTATGAAATGTTTATGCCTTAATATACTTTTATGTTTTATGACATTTTATGCCATACTATATTATGGCATTTTTATGACATATCACGCCATACTATACCATAGATATTTTTACTGTTTTTACTGTAACATTTTTATGCCTTACTTTACTTTGATGTCTTTTTGAAATTTTTTGCCCTAGTATACTATGATGCTTTTATGCCATTTTTTCTACCTCATTATATTGTTCCTTTTCATGCCATACTATAAGATTGCTATCAGCCATGGTAGTCCAGTGGTTAGAACTATTGCCTCCCACAGTCCAAAAACATGCACATTAGGTTAATTGGCAACTCTAACTGACTTTTTTATGCCTTTCTAACCTATAACATTTTTATGCCATACTGTACTATGAAGTTTTTATGACATTTTTTGCCTTACTATACTATGACGTGTTTATGACATTTTATACCTTAGTACACTATGAAATGTTTATGTCTTACTATACTTTGATATTTTATGACATTTTAGTACATACTGAACTATAACGTTTTTATGACATTTTTGACCTTAGTATACTATGACATTTTTATGACATTTTATGCCTTGTTATACTATTACGTTCTTATGACATTTTAGGCCTTAGTACACTATGAAATGTTTATGCCTTACTATACTTTGATGTTTTGTTACATTTAATGCCATACTGAACTATAACGTTTTTATGACATTTGTGACCTTAGTATACTATGATGTTTTTATGACATTTTGTGCATTACCATACTATGACATTTTTAAGACATTTTTTGCCGTACTACACAATGTTGTTTTTAAGGCATTTCATTGCTTAGTATACTATGACTTTCTTATGACATTTTATGTCATACCATACTATGACGGATTTATGACATTTTATACCATAGTATACTATGAAATGTTTATGCCTTACTATACTTTGATGTTTTATGACATTTTATGCCATACTGAACTATAATGTTTTTATGACATTTTTGACCTTAGTATACTATGACGTTTTTATGACATTTTATGCCTTGATATACTATTACGTTCTTATGACATTTTAGGCCTTAGTATTCTATGACATTTTTATGAAATTTTATGCCATACCGTACTATGACATTTTTATGACATTTTATACCTTAGTATACTATGAAATGTTTATGCCTTAATATACTTTGATGTTTTGTGACATTTAATGCCATACTGAACTATAACGTTTTTATGACATTTTTGACCTTAGTACACTATGTTTTTATGACATTTTGTGCATTACCATACTATGACATTTTTATGACATTTTTTGCCTTACTACACTATGTTGTTTTTATGACACTTTTGCCTTACTACACTATGTTGTTTTTAAGGCATTTCATTGCTTAGTATACTATAACGTTTTTATGACATTTTATGCCTTGATATACTATTACGTTCTTATGACATTTTTCGCCTTAGTATACTTTGATGTTTTTATGACATTTAATGCCTTACTATACTATGACATGTTTATCACATTTTATACCTTAGTATACTATGAAATGCTTATGCCTTACTATACTTTGATGTTTTATGACATTTTAGTACATACTGAACTACAACGTTTTTATGACATTTTATACCTTAGTATACTATGAAATGCTTATGCCTTACTATACTTTGATGTTTTATGACATTTTAGTACATACTGAACTACAACGTTTTTATGACATTTTATACCTTAGTATACTATGAAATGTTTATGCCTTACTATACTCTGATGTTTTTATGATATTTTATGCAATACTATACTATCGTGTTTCTATGACATTTCATGCCATACTATACTATGACGTTTTTTAGACATATCACGCCATACTATACCATTTTTATTTTTTACCTTATTATACTGTAACATTTTTATGCCTTACTATACGTTGACGTTTTTATAAACTTTTATGCCATACAATTTTATGGCTTTTCATATTATGATGATTTTATGACATTTTATTGAATATGATGCTACAATGTTTTTATGACATTTTTGCCTACTATATTATGATCTTTTCATAACATTTTATTCCTTAGTATACTATGAAATGTTTATGGCTTACTATCCTATGATCTTTTTATGGTATTTTATGCCATACTATACTATGATGTTTTTATGACATTTTGTGCCTTACTATTTTATTCCATGCTATACAACAAATATGGGGCATCATGATAGTCCAGTGGTTAGAACTGTTGTCTCACAGTGAGAAGGTTGTGGGTTTGAATCCCAGGCCTGGCGACCTTCTGTGTGTAAACCATTCCATATTGTACCATCACAAAACCCATTTTCATGCTGAAAGTGACCCTGCATAATCCCTGTATTCAGTCATTAATGTGATCAGCATTTATTGTGTTGTATACACATTTGTCATTAAACTCCCCGATACAAAATTCAACTTTGATGTTAAGTGGCAACTCTGGAGATTTGCCATATAACTAACCAAAATGTGAAATACTTGAGAATAATGTGTCTTTACTTAAGAAGCTGGAGTTTATGTATCCCAAGGAATAAAGACATGCTTTCAAAAACCGGTTCTTAATCCCCCTGTAAGACTGTTCTCTCTGGAGTTTTGTAAACTTTAGTAAACTGAACGGCAACAACAAAGTCAAACACCTGGGAGAATACCAATAAAGCTGAACAAATGGATTCACCTCCTGGTGGCCACTGCTAAGCATTTAGTAACTAAAGTCACGCCACTTCAGGTTGAATAATAAAAATCCCAACTCGCAGAGAATTAAATAATTATTTGTAGACTGTTATTTGTTCAATATGTAACATGTTACAAAATAGTGAAAAATGCCCATCACTATAAACATCAAAACATCTCAGAGGATGAGGTCACATCTTCAGATCACTTCTTTTGTTCAACCAACAATCTACCCCCCAAATATATTAAATTCAAAGTGATTTTAAAGGAAGAAAAGCAGCAAATCTTCACTTTTGAAAAGATGGATACAGTGGATGTTTGACATTTTTACTTGATCTGTGATTAATTCATCATCAAAAGTGGCGATTACTCACTTTCTGTTGATCAGCTACTTAATTCATGTACATATTTACTGATTAGCTGCACATGAACTGGAGTGTGAAGTGAGTTCCTAAAAACAGAAACTAGAGCTGCAAATTTCCCGCAGTGCAATGTTAATCATTTTATTCTGCAACACTCTAATATTACTCTAATTGCTGTGGGTATATTAACACACAATGATCTAATGATATAAATCATGACACTAATTGTTATAATGAGACAAAAGAGCAGCTTCCATGTAGAGCGTCTTGCTTGATGTCACAAATACAGCATGAAAGCTGTTTGTCTCGTTGACCTAACACCACAATGGGGCCATTGAGGAAACAAGGCAGGTCTGTGCAGTTTGGCCTTCAAATCAAAAAACGGAATTGAACCCAGCTCCACAAACCCGTGTCCTGATTAAGGGAGCTGAATTGATCATTATGCGGGTGAAGCGAACAAAACCCTCTCATTCAGTGGTGATGATTTGTGTATTTGTTGACCCTGTGTAGCCCAGAAATGCACACTCGCCTTTTAACCATATGATCTATGCATTGTTTAGACTCAGCGCATTGTTTACATTGTTGATGATGCTATTGCGTTCTGGGTGCTCATGTATGAGCTAATACCTGACCTATTTTCAAGTCTGAATGAAACAAACACAACCCCACAATAGTTAGTCCATGCCAGACATCTCATGCTGCGCATTTAAATCTGCTCCGCTCTCTGTTTATGCAGCTCTGTTTTTCAAAGAAATACCTCAAAGAAACATCATTGTCTCTGTGGAGAATTTCACTCGCTGTAACTCCAGAAATATCACAAAAGAATATTAGTAACAGAACAAAAATAGTTGTCTGATCAGTCTGTGCTTCTCACACTGTCATGGGGTCTAATGACCTGCTAAAAGGGCCTCATTCAACCTAACAGCATGTATTGTTGGTGCTTTGCTTTGCGGTGACCTTGAGCTTGAAAGCGTCTGTCACACAATGAGTCTGTGGAGCTGAAAGGGCTCCACAACACCATTAACCTCAGTTTTAATGACAATCCAGCTTCTTGATCAGAGAAGTACTTCAACCAAGTTAAGGATGCTTGCAGTCAGACAGCTGCAGACAGACTCAGAAAAGGCTGACACAAGGACCTGAAAGGAGAGTCAATTTCCAGCTGGGCTTGGAAACCACTCAGTCATTTATAAACTATGTCTTACTCTTCACCTGACGTGACCCTTCAGCTCTTACTGCCACAGCACTGGATCAGGGTAACAAGCAGCACAATGCTTTATAACCTGTTACAACTGGACAAATGACAGATGTAGCATCTCTGTGAAGTTCCAACTTTTTTGTAAGTATTTGATGCCAAAAAACAACTTTGAGTCTGTGTTTGACATTCATGGGTCACTTCTCAATGTGCTATCAGGTACAGATGTAAGATGTTAGAGATCTGACCTGAAAAACAAAATAAGAAAATGTTTTGCCTGATAGAGGCTGATGTCTCATATTTAATGTCATAGGCAATGAGCAGTTTTATTGCTCCATGAATGAACAGCTCCATGTGCAGGTTGACCTTTATTAAAAGGTCAATAGCTGTATCAAAACTACAGCGTTATTTTGTCGTACATGCAAGTGATGCTCTGTCCAAAGGTAACAGAATTCACCTGCAAGGACCTCTGAAGGTCACTAATTAAACAAACAAAATATAACTTAATTAGTGAGCCTTAGAGATGCTGGTAGGCAGATATTTCTGCTGTTGGTCAGAGGTAGGCCAGCTGCTTACAGAGAGTGGTACCAATCTAATTTCATCTAAGTTTTGACAAAAAAAAGAAGGAAATAATCACAAACGTCCTAAAGTCAAAGTGTTCCTTTAACTGACATTGTGCAGTATACTGCAGGGAGGCCACATTGATAGCATGTGTAGATACATGAAAAGTGCTTACCTCTCCATTGAAGAAGCAGAATATTGTTGCCACCAGTAAACCCTTGAAAAAAAGCAAAACATATACATATTCACAAAAAAAAAGTAGAGACACCAGAAACCAGAGAGAATGTGGTGGAGTCACGTGTCTTTCTGGTTAGTGAATGAACTGAATGGACTGCCTACCATGTTGTTTAATTAAGTGCCTAAATGGTAGTCAAATAAAATTAATGGAGTCCCTAACTGTTTTTTTTAAAGGCAATTCAGCAGTGTGTCACATCGATCAATCACAACAAGAAAACAAGGTTTTATGGCTGGAAACCCTCAAGCAAGCCAGATGGCTAAATCTCGAGTCTGACAGGGCCCAAGGGTGCCAACAAATCTGGGCTGGGTTCAGGACTTTTTTTTTCCATGTATTTTTTCAAGCATACTGTGGGTTTGGGTCTAAAATTTAAATATTAATATTGATCATTCATTTCAAAATTTTGTACATGTTTACAGATAATTTTGTTTCCCTTCATTATTTATTGTTTGTGGCCAGAAATGCAAAATGCTGGCAGCAGTACTTTTCTGCCCTATGATATTCAATGAACCGAGCCCCATATCTGGTGCTTTAATGGAAATCCTGATTCATTTTGTGCCTCGCTGCAAGCTCAGCACCTACCTGGTAGTGCATGAGTATGTGCATGATGTACTCGTAGACCTCCCCAGCCAGCCGGTTCTCTGGCCTCCATGGAAAAATTACAAACTGTATTCCCAGCAGGGGCACCAGGATCAGGGTGGCTCTCACCGCCTTCATGTACATGTTGGACTCTGCCCGGTGCGTGTCTCTTAACTTGGTCACCAACACTCTTATAATATTTAGCAAGAAGAAGAGGTTCACCTGCACAGTGTTAAAAAAATTATGAGAAGAACAAAAAAAAACAACCATTTTTTTCTTTCGCATTTAAGAACTAAAACCAAAATTACAAACCAATAATATTGTGTCTTATATTGTGCTGAAACAGTGGATTAGCAGACTTACAAGAAGTGCTGCCACTATAGGACCATGAACTGCGTAGAGCAGATGGGTTTCCACACTCATCCAACAGCTACAGAAGGAAAAACATATCTGTCAGTGCTGTCTGCCTCCCAAAATACACACGCACACACACGCACACACACATACATTAACATGCACATGTACGGATCTGCACACTCTCACTCACTGCCACACGCAGCCGAGCACATATGTAAACATCTCCTGTTTATTTGCAGAAGTTTCTGGAACATTACTCACTTGTCATCGAAATACTTTTTCCTTGCCACGGCGTGGATGGATGCAGGGACCAGTGGAAAGCCTTGGACAGGAAAAAAGGAGGCAGCCATATGAGGTCTTGAGTGAATTTAGTGAAATTCATTTGTCATTTATGCAACAGTAAAAAAGTGTGGTTAGCTTGGTCGGTGGTGTTGTTGGTCTCAGACTTCCTCATCAAATAAATTATTACGTTATAAATATCATTGCACTAATTCTTGGAAAGGCAGAAAAGCAGGGGATCAACTTTCTCATCCTCGTTTCTACAGACTTTCCTAATGCAACTTTATTGTTACAGCCCTATTAACAACACCACATGGATAATTTCCCTGTTGATTTTAAAATCCACTCCTTAAAAATTTTCTTAAAAAAACAAAAAACACTTGAATTGGGGCTCTTTTCGGCTGGATATAAACACATGAATCCTAGTACACTTCATTCGCAGACACAGCTGGGGCCCGGCAGCATATTGACCACAGATGGACCTGGCAAAGAAGCTTTACTCCACACACACACACACACACACACACACACACACACACACACACACACACACACACACACACACACAGGGCCTCAAGGTCATCCTCCCATTTTTAACAATGACCATCCATTTAGTTCCATCACCTACTTGTTTGACAGACTGCACCCATTGTACCTGTTTTGAACAAGGTGAAAAACAGCAGAGGAGCAGCACTGAGCGACGGGAGGGCCAATAAAGCTGTCAGCATGTTCAGGTTGACATACTCTATGAAGACTGGGTGGTTACAAGTAAATTGTGGCTGCTAGATTGTGAACTCATCTCGTTGAATTGCTTGCTGACTTGTCAAGCTGTGATTGAGTCCATTGTGGACATAAAAATATAAATCTTTAAAGACAAACAATAGAATATAATGCCATACAAGAAACGGTGTGTTGGACAAATGTAGATGACTCACCCCATCCCAGGAGGTAGTACCAGTGCAGATGCTGCTCCTCTGCAAACACAGCCACCACGATGAGCGTGTGCAGGTAGATGCCTTCGCAGAGCATCCAGAAATAATTGCAGCCAAGCATGTACATGTGGAAGAAGTGCAACACCTTACAGCCAACCTGCAGAAACAGCCCAAACAGTTTATCTGTTTTGTCTGTTTTTGACTTTTTGTATTGAAAGATACCTATTAAAATAATTTAATTTTAACACTCCTGGCATCATCTCAGCGGGAGACCTAAAGATCTAAGTAGATATATCTGCATTCCTGGCACAAAATCATTAGTCAGTATTATCCTTTTACAGACTTAGAGGATGTTTATTCATTTACCCCCTCTGGAGGGGCGCTGAGATGGAAATGATGATTTTTCCTTGTATTTGGAATGTTCTTTGATTGTGTTTATCTCGCTTTGCACAAAGAAGCAAGAGCATATTCATACCTTATACAAGAGGCTACTATGCAATTTCCTATTCATGCATCCACCACAGTGTGACAACATGACAGCTTTATGTATTCTGTTGCTTTGATTGAGTCATCATCATAATTTCTTGAAAGTAATAACTTTGATGACATATCATTATGTCAATCTTATCTCACCACAGTCTATTAATGCGGTAATGATCAAGGCTCTTATGGATGTTCGATAAGATATAATTCCTCTAATGCCAGGCAATGGTTCCAATGAACCTGACTGTATTGAAGTCTACTCAAAAAGTCTCAAAAACCTTTCCACAAAAATTAGCAGTGAGTCAATCCCATAATGTTTTCTTGTCCCTGCTCAGATAGACTTTTCTTTCCCTTTGGCCAAATTGGCTCCAATAAAAATCAAGGTGGTGATAAAAAACCAAAACCCACATTAATCTGCATCCTGCATCTCCTGCTGCAAAACATGGATGCCTCTGTCATGGCAACTACTCAGAAAGCTCAATATTAAACTACAAAACATATTTTGATGTTGTTACATAATATTACAAAAAAACATGTTTTTGTTTTTCTGGCTTCCAATGCTTTCCATTGGTTTTGATGATTCTGCATTCTTCAAATCATAACTTCCTCGTAGAGTTCAGTGTGTTGTTGCTGCTGGTTTCAAACCAAGTGACCGTAACACTTGATAAAAGTGTCCCACAAGGATCAATGTAGTCTGTACATAAGTAATATTTATTTTCTAACTGAGCATTGAAATGTCAACTTTTATGCAGATGATACCATCTGTTTTTGTCTGTTTTTGATGACCCTCCTATCCCCCTTTTTTTCAATTAAAGCTTGTTCTAATTTCCAAAAAGGCAAGATGTGAACTGATCTCTTTATGTTCAAACTCCATGCTCTTGCTGGAAATACAATCGAGACAGTAAAGCTTTATTAGAGGAGTGCTTGTCTTGCCTTCAATTACAGAAAAAGCATCATACAACCCACCAGACTATCTATGTTGGATGATCCCAACCCTTATGCCATTTACCACAGTGCTATTTAATTTATTGCTCATGATAGCTATCGGCTCAGCTACGTGAATTACATGAATAGGTTGAATAGTCATCTCTGACATCAGCATACCTGTATTTTATTTATAAAACACAATGTTGTCTAAGTTCTCTCTTTAATATATTAATGTATCAAAATGAACAACCATGACACTAAATCACAAGATAGGTTAGCTTTAAAATATGCTTATACCAACTCTCAACTGGGGAAGACTTGCTGACATTTTTAATACAATAAAATTTGTGATATTTGTAATTGGTATGCCTGTATTGCGATGATTGTTTTGAGTGACTGAATTGTTTTCTTTGTTTCTTTATCTTTATCGCAATGGCACTTCCTGAATAAATACAGTTACAAGTCTTATGGATGATGTAAACAGACCAAACCTTTGTATAAATAGATACATATTTCTAAATATTCACATGAGGGTTCTGGTTTGCAGTCTTTTGTTAAAAGAGCATACATGCAGCCACAGTATAATTCAAATATGCTGGCATTACTATTAACTGCTGCTCTCAGGGGTCCTCTTAGCTCAAAACACACAACAGTCATTCATTTCTAAACTTTTAGCCACATGTCTCTCCCGCACTTTCCTGCGTTTCCCTTTCCACTTGAGGAATCTCCACTATAACAGACACAGACTCATATCAGTATACAGAAGGTCAGGTCACTTACTTTTCACCAGTTCAGACCTGTTGTTTATTTTGTAGCTAACCAAGGTTTGTCTAAAGTTACCGACAATGTTCTGGTTTACAAATCAAGCTGCTATAGATCATGTAGATGTTTCTCATGTTTTCAGCCTCCTCCCTGGTTTGACATAAGCTTTGGGGATTCACTCCTCCACACTGCTGGCAGGCCAAACCAGACTCTGTATCACCACACCAGAGAGAATAACAAGAGCTTGTTTTCTCTGTGAGAGCAAATCTCTACCACAATCCACTATTCCTAAATCACCAGCGCAGAAAAAAGGCTTTTATGTCTCACTTTGGCAGCGCTAAATTTCAAAATGTTTCCCAAAAGACACGCGCAAATCCCAATCAATGGTGCTTGTGATTTGTTCTTTGGCTTCCTCTTAAAAACCGGAGCCATGCTGACCAATTTTATTTCAGCGAGTTAGCACAACCTGACAGTCCTATGTCAGAAACTAACAGATTTAACACAAACATTTTTGACAAATGGCGACAAGGAGAGATTATATATATATATATATATATATATATTTCCTCACATTGATGATGATGGCTGTGATTCCTGCCTGCTTTTTGGATACGTTCAGAGATGGGATGTGAATAAAGACAGCAGTCAGGCTGAGCCAAACCTCTGCTGTCTCCTGGATGTTTCCAGTATGTTGTTGGGCCAGTGATGCTCCAGCTCAAAGGAGGCTGAGGCTGAGGGGATTGTGTGAAATGTGCGCCAACTTCTACAATCCTATCTGCTGGTTTTGTTGTTTTTGTATGGCACCTTGTTCATCTGAAATCCTTTTTTTCATTTAGCTCAAATTTTCACACATACACATATTGGAAGGATTTTGATTTTAAGTAAGTTTTTTTAGCGGGTAATATTCTGACCCAATTTTTATTCAACTCTACATAAAAGCAAAGCAGATATGATCCTTTTATGGAGTTGGAAAAACTCTGCAATAACAACTTTTAAGAAGCAGCAAAGCACCGAGTTAACAGGCTTTCATTATTTTGATTTCCAAAAAGGAGTGGTTCTTGAAGAGTAACATATGAATTTATGTTCAGTCCTGATAGCGAGACATTCCTACAAGACAGATTTATCATCTCTACCTAAGCAGACCTCTGGGTTTCAAAGAATTCGCATAAGGCATTAAGTGTGACTCCAAAACAGGAGAATGTGGAGGAGCGCAAAAAATGTCTGTCAACTTTGCAACACTGCCAAGAAATGGCACAGTGAGATGAAATGCTAATTAGGACGCCCTTAAAAAAGTCTGCTCTACAAACTTTTAAATATTTAAACTATAGAGCAACTCTATTTAAATTTCATTCTTGGCTTTGCATATCAAATGAATTTTAAAAAGTTCATTGAATTTTTTTCTTCCTTGCATATTTATTTGGTTTTGCACCAATTGTATTTCATTCCAAGATAGTGCAACTTTCATCTTACACAAACTATATTCTACTAATTTATTTTGTTGGCCATGCTAACATATGGCTCTAATTGGTCTGTCCACCATTTTGGTCCAGACTGAAATATCTTGACGAATACTGTAGGCTACTCTAAATTTCAATAATGAATTGTAAGGCTTTTGGTGATACAATAACTTTTCCTTTAGCGACATTATCAGGTCTAGATTTGATTTTGGTCAGTTCTTTATGGGTCATGACCAAATACCTGCAAAACCATTTATATTTACATCAACATCAGCTGTGTTGATGTGCTGTTGTTTTGTGTTGGGTGCTAAGTACAACATTTTAGCATGGAAATTAAACTAAGATGGTGAACATGGTAAACACTGTTTCTGTGTCTGAAATCACAAATCAGAACCTCAAATTTTCTGTCTACCATTTCATTTGAGTCTGAGTTCTTAGGGTGAAGATATATCCTCTATAGTGAGCCGTATGAACATGTATCCTCTATACTGAGCCATTAGTGAGAGGTGCGAGTGGACACGAGGTGGAAAACAAACCCAAAATGATTGAGATCGTTTGAGGGAAAAGTTGTTTTGTGCCTAAAACTGCACAAATCTCAAAAGTAATGAGTGGAAAATGTTCATTATCTCAAGAAGGAAATATGCCGCCGGAATAAACGTCAGTTTTAAAGTACGAGAGCTTGCACTGTTACTGTGAGTTTAAGGCTTGAGGCTCTGTGTTTAGAGTTTTTATTTGGGGATTGATGACAGCTGATAGAGGAGCTGACTAATGGTTATGGATGAAAACTGTTTCAAATTATTATGTTTATAATTTTCCAGAGAAGAGATTCAAACAAATCTATTCTATTTGGCTGATCAATAATACTGATTAAATCCTGCCTGTTTATACTGCAGTCATCTCTAATACCAGTTTTTACAGTAAATAAGCACATGTGGCAGACATCCAGTGTCTGGTTTATTTTGAGAAAAGAGCAGGATTTTATTTAGACATGCTGTTGTTACAAATACAATAACCAGAATGAATGTGCAAGTGCTCTTTACTTTCTTTATGCCAAGGTTGTGCTTTTCAGTTTAACACATGCTGATGTTTTTTAGGTGTTTAGGTGGTGTATGGTTAAAAAAAAAAAAAAAGAAAGAAAAAAAAAATAGGCAAATGCGTATGCTGTGCCTACAGACTCACCGGGTTTCTGCCCACCACGTCAGGATTGTTGACCACCGCTACCAGGTAGATGATGGTGAGGGCAGAGTTGAGCACATAGGAGCAGAAGAGGTTCTTATGGAGGGTGATCCTTTGGCAGCTCAGACTCCTGTGTGAAGAGAGAGGCCGTTTGGTTAATTAAAAAAAATAACACGTTGGGAATAAAATCTCCTCTGACACATAAAAACGTAACATTAAAGAAGACTAAAACCTGACACAACAGAGTAACTCACACGACTGGCAGGCCAATAGTTTAATGAGGTTGTCAGCTGCTGCTACAGTCTGTAAAATATCTGGGATCTTTCATCTCTGATATTTGTGGCTGGTAAAAGAAATCCCTGGGATCAACAAGCTAGATTCCCTCTAAAATGCTGTACTGTACATGCTAGTGCTGTTAAATAATGCATAATGGATCCCAAGGGTGCTTCCTCATTACCTTGGCTGGCCACTCAGAATTAATAGCACAATGAAATGCTTCCCATGCAAAGTGAGGCTAACTATTAGAATCAAAATCGTTTCAAGTCATTCATATCCGGTAGTTTTTTGTTTTTTTGTTGGTAATGATTGAATAATGTTTTTAAATCAGGGCAGCAATTAAAAAGACTGCAGTTCACAGAGTGTTTAAGGCTGAATGAAACCTTGCACCAAATATATTTCACAGAATATAGCCTCCTATAAATATGTCCTCTTCAGTTTAAGAAGTTGTATTCTTTTACTGCTCATGGCCAATTTTATCTTTGTTGAGTCATAAAACCCTCGAGACCCATGAAAAACAGGAAGAGCACTAAGTTTCCTCAGGCCAGGACAAAACAACATATACATCTGCACTGTCTCTTCCAGAGGTTACCGCTAACAGAAATGCAGTAAAAAGGAGATGCAGGAGCTGCTGAGTGCTTATATACAAGGGCTTTTTATCCAAAAGGAGATGTCAAAACACAGGCTGAACCCTTATGGCAGCGTTGTTCATACTGTCACAGGTCCTAATGTCTTCGGATCGGCCGTTCGACCAACTCCTGTTTTTCCACGGCAAGCTGGAGTATTTTCATCTGGGAATCTTGACAGTGTTGATGTCGAGTCATAAATAACAGAGTGCAGCTGTACACCACCACATACCATTGTAAGCTTCACATCTGGATCTTATAAGAAACATTAAGCCTGCGATATTTTAAGTGTTCTCGCTATAAATATGCTAAGTAATGGTTAAAAAGAAAAAATAAATAAAAGGCTTTCGGAGCCAATGTCTTTGTGACTTCATTGAGATCTTAATTTGTTCGGACTTTGAGCTTGATGAATTGTGAATGTCCTACTGAATTGCTGCGTAGCTGCATTAAGAGTCTGACTCAGTGGGTCTAGGGGGGTTTTGTGATAATGCACCTGCCCTAAACACGGCCACTAGATTTATGAGTGTATATAAAACTTTGCAGCGCACTGAGGGTCTCGTACAAGATCTGTTCTGGATAACAGCTGCGTTTAGGAGGTCAGCACCCCTCAACATGTCAAATTTTACAACCGCAGCATTCGAGAACTACATGGCCAACAAAGTAACTCATCCAAATATTGTTACAGAACATAAAATTATTTTTTTTCTGCTCAGGCTCCACATTCAGGTTTTTCAACATTTTTGTGCCATTAAAAACGAAGCTGATTAAGTTCTTTCCCAGAGATAAACTTACAATGATATAAAGTTTCAACAATGTGTAGACTTTTGCACAGTCTGTTCACTTTCTCTAAAGCTTTATTATTCCCAGATTTCACACACACTAACTGAATATTATACTTATCCCTCCTTTATCCACTTTGTTATTTTCAACTATTATCTAATTGAATTTCAACAGCAGGATCTCAATTAATTGCGCCCTTTTTACCTCTGGGATTAAGCAGTACATTGGGATGAACGATTCTTAATGAGCAATGCACTCAGGTGCACACGTTTCCAATAAGAGCAAAGCACCAACGCATTTAATGGACGTCACAGCCCTCCAGTTTTAAATCCTAAATATCCATGAAATAAATGTGCTGTACAAGGAAACCAATTCTGCATGAAATTAGCCAAAGTTTAAGTTGTGTGTAAATGACACTCGGTGGAGCAGCAGAACTATTTTCAGGTGGATAGCTTACATTAATTTGTGATAAAGAAGATGGTAATAATGTTCGACTACAGTCCTCAGTGATGATTTAACACACCACCAGCAGAGTTCAACAATGTTACATTTACACAACATTTGCCCCAGAGTAACCCGATGAGCGAACAAACAATCAACTCATTTGACTGTATATATAAAATCAACACTGAAAAATCTTTTGCATGTCTCTGGGGCAAATGTTTCAAACTGTAGAACTAACTCCTGACTGAAGACTGAAGATTCTGCTGACTGACCAAAGTACTGCTCAAGATGAGTAATGAAATGGCTGCAGGAGACTGTAGCGAAAGCCCAGCCCCATCTGTGTGCCTGTCAGATCCACTGAGAGCAGAGAAGATTATTGAGCCTTTAAGGGCAAAACTACCAGTGATTAATCATTTCATCATCATTGAATAGTGACAAACTGTATCAGCCACTGTCATCATAGCATAACCATCCTGAATATTCACTTGCATCGGTAGCTACATTCTCACACAGAGGACAGAAACATCACATTTAATCCATTACCTGAAGTAGAAGAAGATGGCCAGAGAGATAAGCAGGGAGGCTATGGATAAAGCATGACCCACAATTGCCATGTAAAACAGGATGTACGCTGACTGCAAAGAAAAACCACAAACAAGATAGAGATAACATGTGGAGCATTACAAGTGGGAAAACGTTAAAGAGACAATATTCAAAAGAAATGCGACTTCTTTGAAGTGTCACGTGTTGTATTTTGTGGGAGGAAAAAAAAAATCAATGCTACATTTTTCACTTTGAGGAGGACACAATGTTCAACAGGGAATAAGAAGCATTGGTTGTGTTTTGCAGCCTGGGTTTTATATTTGAAACTTCTTCCATTTTCTGTATCAACAATATATGATGATACTGCTAAACCCAACTTTACAGCAGAAAAAATGCAGCACCAACACATGTAATCAGACAGGTTTTAAATGACTCCCCAATTCCAATTTAAATGTATTAGTTTTACCAATTATTTGAATGTGAAAATGGAGGTAAACATAAAGTAAATGTCTGTTGTAAAAATCCATTGAATTACAATGAAACAGCTTTTTTAGGGGAAAAAGATGTCTGATCATTGTTTCCGTTTTCAATCATGGCTGATAAAATATTATGTTAGAACAATAAGACCCAGGATGTTAGTCAGCAGGCTGAACGTTCATGTGAATACTTTTTATAATAAGGGCTCTCATTTTAAAATGCAGGAATGAAACCAAACTATGACTACTTTAAGGATTGCAGATATTTCTTTTATTGTATTCATAGTACATATACTAAGTAATACAATCTGATAAATGATTGCCACAACAGACTGACACTTAAATAGACAAATTGTGACTAAATGAATGAATACATATTGTTAACAAAAAGAAACTACTTTTGGTGACAGTAAAATTAGATTATGAAAACTCAGGGTCAACAAATTCAGAGAAATGTGGAAGAATCTTGCAATTTAATCAAACTACACCCTCAGTTCGTGGTGTGAAAGAGAGAAATAAGAGAAGACGTTGGCATCAACCCAGCCTTATCAGAAAATCGTGGGACATTTATTTTGCCTCATTTCTCTTTTGGACCATACTGATGAGGCGGTTTGTTCTCAGACCCTTCGTGAAGCTGGAAGGCTGAGTCAGCAAAGATCAGGTTTCTGTGGCAACAGATGCAGCAGCTGATCTCTGGTTCGGTTCAGATCGGCTGACAGATTTTTTGTCTTTCACCTAGGTTTGCCAGGACAGCTGTTCCAACTGCCTGGTGCACTGACTGGATGCAGCAAGAGAGAATTTCTTGCAATTCTTTGCAGAGGTTTTGTTTACGAGTTGCAGGTATTTGCAATTGGCCAGTTTCCTTGTTCCAGATGGGAGAGCAGAGGATTAGTTGTTGCTGTTTTGTTATTTCCTTGGATATTTTTCTGGGTGAAAAAACCTTTTGGTGACCTTGTTCTTAGATTTAATTGTATATAAACAGTATATAAACAATGGCAGGGTTGGATAGGGAGTGCCTAACCATCAGTATAACAAAAAAATAAAAAGCTTGCAAATGGAAAGCCAGAGAAAAACAAGCAAAACAAAAATCACAAAGTGCAAAAATATCTTTGAAGTGCAAATTTGGCTTTTGTGCAAGATTTGGTTTGGTGTCGTAAAATCTTAACATAATCAGTCAATTACTGTCATCAACTTGTGACAAATAATAACAAAAAAAAACATTAACAGGAAAACTTTCAGCAGTCTAATAATTCTTTTTAACCAAACACATTCATAACCTTCATCATTCTGACTTTTGCATCACGACTGAAAAGAGCCAAGTTATTGGTACAGTATTGGTACTGAGTGACCTAACCAACCACAAGCCAACATCATGATTATACTACCATGTATTGTATATTGGATAATATCGATTAAACCATTTATAATATATTTAATTAAAGACTTTTGTAAACAAGTTAAAAGTCATGTGAGACAATACAAAAAATCTCTTATAGTCCATGACTGTGTCTGATGTCCGCATTGGCAAAATACTGGAATGAGCTCTTTGGTGTCCTGGTCTGGTTTCCGTGAGGAAACGCTGTTAGCGGCTTGGTACAGCAGCCTGGTGCTGTTGGTGATAAGACTGTTGTTAATATATGATGATGTTGAGACACTCCTCTGTCCGGGCCCATCATTTTATAATGACTGTAAAGCCTGTGGGACAGAGGGCTTGGAATAATGTGATGGTTTTGTTCCAACATAGAATATGCAAAGTGTGTTGAAGTGAAAAACAAACAGCTGCTTTACCCTTTACCCTCATTATCTGTGAGATTAGAACCCAGTTGAGTCATTAAAAATACAAATCATACCTGTAAGGAGTTAATCGGTGACCTCTACCCAAACAACATTTATATTTCTATTCCTGCAAGTAAACACATGCACCAATTCAGACGAGGTGTGACCTCACCCTGTGCATTTTCCTTTTACTTTCCATGTGTAAATATTTCTGTGAAACTATGGGCGACTGTTTCAGAACTATATTTCCAGTTTGCATATTTTCTCCCATCTGCCCACACTGCAAATACGAGAGGACTCCAGGCAACAAAAGAAAAGATTATGCTGACCAATCACACTGCAGTAGATCTATGAAAGCAAGCTACTTTATCTGAAATTAATTACCTTCAGTTTTGCATTAGTGTTTTCGTTGCAGAGTGTGTAGTTGGACCAAGTCCTGTTAGTATCCGGGTGGCGAAACCACTGACCATCCTCCCCACAGTACTTAGTAGCCTTTTCTGCAAGTAACAATGAAGTAATAAAATATTCGTTGTCAATTATCTCTACCAATGGATACAGTTCATTGTCCATGTATTCTGGTTGCATTAGTCTTGGTGAATAATTCATCTTCAGTGTAATTAATATAAGTCATTAATATTTTATGGCCTATCGTCTTTAAAAACAGAAGATCAGGAGAGGTTAACTCTTGAGTCTCACTGCTCACCTGTAGGGTCAAAGTCCACAAAATAATTGGGGCAGTTTTGAGAGGTGTAGGTTCCCGCCGGAGTATCGTCCCAGCACAGCCAGCCATCCCAGTTACGACTGCAGTATAGATCTGCAGCATCAATAAAGTCACAGAGGCGGTTAAACATCCACAGAGGAGAGGCACGAAAAGACAGAGTGAGCTTCAGTAAAGTCGATATTACCACTACCTGATTTGTTATACGGTGCATCTCGATTCATTTTCTCAAAGCATTTGTACTGGCTGTCGAGGATTTTCTTTTGCACCTTTTCCTGTTCTTCTGGGTTAACCGTGGGGCTGACCGTGGCCTCGATGACGGGCTGTACCTCAGTGTCCCCTGAGAGCTGGGCTGCTGCCTTCATTTTATTGACACACACACACAAAGTCATTATCATTCAGGATAACACAATGAGCAGTGAAGCTATGGGAAAAAAAACGTGACACACAATAATGGCATTTATGTGGAGAATTTTTTTTTTTTTTTCAGTACAAAAATACACCTTTATATGGTTTATGGTATAAACTTCAAAAATGAGGGGGACACAATAAAGTAAATGGCTCCCCATTAAAGAGAGGTTCAGTATTGGAAGCCACATACATACTATTTATTTTGTAACATTGGTGGGGGGCCACATGTCTCGAAACTTGCAGGAAAAGCCATCAGTATTTAGTTAGTTAGTCTAGTTACAATTCGTGATCTTTCTGATAAAAAGTTATTTCATAAACAATACATAACCTTCTCCCTAAAGTTGACAGCGCAGAGTGTATAGTTAGTCCAGGTCTTGTTGCTCTCTGGATGGCGAAGCCACTGCCCGTCCTCTCCACAGAACTTAATCGCCTTTCCTATAAAAAGAACAATTATATAATTTTCTATAAATCCGTGCAGCTGTGTCCTGTGTCCGATCAAAAAGATCAAAACTCATCATTAGAGTTTAACAAGTCATCAGTAGACCTTTAAAATAGCAAAAGCTTTGAGTCTCACTGCTCACCTGTGGAGTCCATGTCGGAAAAATAATCAGGACAGTTTTTGGAAGCGTACGTTCCCGCTGGAGTATCGTCCCAGCACAGCCAGCCATCCCAGTTACGACTGCAGTACAGACCTGCGGCAATGACAAAAAACACAAAAGTATAATTACAATGATGGACCTCTTGTCTGTTCAAAATTGTATGTACACAGTAAGGCTCCACGGATACTAAATAGTATCAGTACCTGATTTGTTCAAAGGTGGATCTCGATTTATTTTCTGAAGGCATTCGTATTCATTCTGAAGCATTTTCACTTTCTGTGGAGAGCAACCCAGATGTTTCAGTGTTAACCAAAGTGACCAAATGACTTAACCCCTGATGAACACTGATTAGCAAAAAGAAAACTATATTTCACTTAACTCAGGCTGGATTTGGTTGCCTAAACCAAAAGTAAACCACACCCACAGTGGAGGCAGACTACAAAACTGTCATATGAATAATTTTTGTAATATTTTGGAAGACAGTGAAAAAATGTATTCCTAAACGCAACTGGGTCATTTTGGAAGGCACTGATGAACAACCTATTTCACAGCTTAGGTTTGAGGACATGTTGCATAGAAAGAAAAGGCAGCGTGGACAGACCAACCAAAAGGAGGTACTAATGCTACGATGAGGACATGATGATCGACGGCTTCCCACCTACCACAACTGCTGAGCCTCATTAATATGGCAGAACTGGGAGCACCAATGGATAATGTTAATTAAATCATTTCTTTGATCTCTGCAGTCATGGATGGATTTTTTTTTTCTTTAACTTTAATCTTAACTTCTAAGTAACTGTATCTGTTCACTTCAGACTGATCTGGTGCACATTAGTATCCTAAAACAACTTAGTACCTTTATAGTGGATCAAACTGGATCCACTACTTGCTGGAACAACAACATGTAAGTGTACATCCGGTAGCTGCTGTATTTTAGGGCTGTCATTTTTCATTTGAAATGGATTGCATTTGAATTATTTTGAATAAATTTGGTGCTAGTTTGAATTAGTTGATTTTCTGAAAAAGTGAAAGTGAAAGCCCAACCCTATGTGCAATTATTTTTATTATGCTTTTGTATATGTATATGCTTTGATGTCTGAGCAGTGAAAGCAAAATGCATATTACATATTTTACTTGTTTCTTATTTAATTGTGAGTGAGGCCACATGTCCCAAACTTCCAGGAACACCCAGCAGTCATGTTAAGCCTAGTTACTAAGAACCTGTATGCAAATGCATAAAGCAATAAATCCGAGAGAGAGTTTATTACATCAACAATACTTTACCCTCTGTCTCCTCTCATGGGTGGTTGCACAGAGTGTATAATTGGTCCAAAGCCTATTGGTCTCTGGATGTTGAAACCATTGCCCGTCTTCTCCACAATACTTAGTTACCTTTTCTGAAAAGAATAAATCCCACCTCTTTAAGTTCTGTCAGCAGAGGATTTAGAGGTGAATTCATCATGAGAGACTAAAAAGATACAAGCAAAAACTCTGAGTCTCACTGCTCACCTGTGGGGTCAAAGTCGAAAAAATAATTGGGGCAGTTTTGGGAGGCATAGGTTCCCGCTGGAGTATCGTCCCAGCACAGCCAGCCATCCCAGCAACGACTGCAGTGCAGACCTGCAGCATCAACAAAAAACACGATGAAACGTTTACAGGCCTCTTGTTCAAACAGTTGTCCAACATGAAAACTCATGTAGAAATCATGCGGATAGAAAATAAAAAACATTTGTTGGTAGACCGGAGTAGCATACTGGGTACCATTAAACAGCATCAGCACCTGATTTATCATGAGGAGGATCTTGCTTCATTTTCTTGAGGCATTTCTTTTCATTCTCGAGGATCATTTTTTCTGCAACACCGCCTCTTTCTGTGTTAACTCCTGTGGCCTCTGTACTCAGCTCTCCTGCAGCGTCTCTTAAAAAATGGAGGACTTCCTTTTGAGAAAAAAAAAAAAATCACATGTTCAATGTAAAATTAGTGTTCAAACTGAGGCAAGCTTTGTCTCAATCTTCCATTACTCACGGGGAAACCAATATCCAGATGTAAATGTCCAAATAGCCCTAATTTGTCCTTTGAAGCTGACTGACAGGTTGAGCCAGTCTCAACCCAGTTACCCAATTCGTCACAATATTTGGTCACTTTTTCTGTAAAGGAAAAAAATCATGTATTGACTTAATGACATCTTGAGAACAGCGTAATCCATTAATGATTATCCTGAAAGCTTCATGTACTGTATCGGATTACTTAAAGGCACATTATTGCTTCTGTTTTGGGTACATGTGCAGTGGAGAATTTCTCTATATTCTTTGGCTCTGTCTTTGTTTTTCAGCAGTAGTATGTTGGCATTACTCAAACCCATAAATCGGACCCTGAATCTTGGCATTAAAGAACAACTGTGATTTATTTAACTTGGCACACATCATCAAACGTTATGTCAAACAGACAATTCCCTTTTTGGAGTAATTTTCTGGCAAATTCTCAAATGTCGGGCTTAAAACCACATGTACTGTAGATCCATGACTGGGATAAGAGTGAGATCATATTGTTCCTGACAACAACAACTGTAGCACGGCTGCCTAGTCTTCTCCGACAGCTCATCAACTGTTCAACAATCACATCCAACTGTACATCTCCCTCAAAGCCTCATATCATCAGCATCAGTTTTCAAACAAGGAGCCATAAGGGGACTCTTAACGTCACAGGCATTTTGGGAAGATCCTTTATGAGCCCTCTCTTACAGAAACACCTTCTCTGTTCGCTCATTCATATTCTCTCTCCCCATCCATCTCCCTGATTCTGACATCCCTGCCTTTTGAGTAATCCCTCTTTTCTTTGCTTCTTTTTTTCTTCTACATATACCCTTCATTCCTCCCTCTGTCCTCTCCCTCACCTCCCTTCTCTCCATCATTTTGCATCGCCTAAATCAGACATGACTTGACTCTGGATCTCCTCAGCATTATTCATAATGTAAGAACTACACATACTCTAGTAACTATTTATATTGCAATCTAAACATTAAGTGCACTTATAGAATCAATTTTGATATAAATAAATGTCCGTTTTCATTCCATCTGACTGACAAAACGAAATGGGCTAGTGATTTACCAAGAATCCAGATTATTAATCTTTTATACTAGCCGTCCTTTACAATCACTGTTGTGTAAGACTGTCTATACTGTAGCAGTACTTTGAGCTAAATGCTTTCTAACATGCTAACAAAGACGCTAACAGGCTGATGTTTAGCAGGTGTAATATTTAGTGTTCACCATCTTAGTTTACCATGTTAGCATGCTTTGCGAATTAGCCTTAAACACAAAGTACACTGAGGCAAATGAAAATTTTCTTACAAATTATGGTACTAAATGAAAAGCCAAGGGATTACTAAAGTTATTGCAGTTATTATTTGTTATCTGGTAGACAATGAGATATTTCACCGGATAATCTGTTGGTGGTGTTTGATGAAGATATTAGGATTCATCCTCTGGCCATAATAACGATCAGCCAATTGTTGTTGAGATATTTCAGTCAAGACCAAAGCGGTTGAATGACCAGCTGACCGATGGACTGTTATTGCCATGCCTAGAGCCAATAAGCTAATAAGAAAAAAAAACTTGGTAGTTAGCACGGACCTCGCAAAAACTACGACCTACAGAACAGAAAATCCAAAGAGAAGATGTTGCAGTACTAGCAGACTGTTGTATCTGAGGAGCGCAAAAGCACTACAGCAGGGAATTTAGCCAAAGAATTTACATCTACTTACTGCTCAAAATAAATCATATCTGCTAGGGATATGATGCATAAAACGTATTTACTTCAGTGAGACACTTACGTCAGGGAACTGACTGTCTATAGCAATTATATTTTGCAGAAAAAGCTCTGTTATTAGAGGGAACAGAAAGAATTCAAAGAATCTCAGCAGTTACACTGGATTCTGCTCGGAGAACCAATCCCCTTTTTTAAAAAAAATCAACCATACAAAAAAATAAAAGGAGGAGGTTGGGGTAGAGGAGGGAGCTATGGCAGAGGATGGTGTTAGCATGAGAATCAGCAATGTGACAACTGTCTGATTTTAATGGTAGAGCTGTACATCTACCATGAATATTATTGGACTTTGCTAGTCAACTAGTAGCCAAGCAGTTGGTGAGAGAGCCAATGATTTTGAAGCATGACTGAAAGAGTTGATGCCAGTCAGCTAATGCAAACATGGCATTCTGTGTAATTCCTAATAACTCTAAGCTATGTATATTTTGTCATTAAAGTGAGGATATCTGTGACATTTTAAATAATTATATAATGTGATATTATTGTTACTAAAATATCTGCAGTTCTTGCATCATGAGTTTTTACAAGGCTCAGAGCACAACCTAATAATTAACCAGCTTTCCCCTAACCAACCTAATGCCAAAATTAAATAGAAATACACAAAATATAAGCTAAATATAAACTTCCTCCCTCAGCTCCATGACCCGTCACCTCCATCACACAGAGAGAAGACTGGATCATTTCTCTGTGATGCCTGCTGACCTGGAACTAAAAAGTTATGCAGAAATCGCTTCCAAATTCCCACCAGTCTCGATTCAGCGAGCTTGTTGTTGTAGGCTGGTGTGAGAAGAGCAACACTTTCTTACCAGTTGGGTCCAGGTCAAGATGATCTGGACAGTTTTGGGTTAGAGATGTCCCAGCTGGTGTCTCACTCCAGCACAACAAACCATCCCACATACGTCCACAGAACATACCTTGAGAGGAGGAAAAAAATGCAGTGACCACTCTGGTTAATTACCAACACACACTTTTTGTGTCTTCAGTTGTATACAGGGGAAGTGTATGTCAGAGTGACAGCCTCGAAAATGTTTACAACCCCACCACAGCTTCTACTTAAAAAGCCCTTTCAGGTCAGTTGTGCTTGAATCACTGCTGACAACACCACCATTATCTTTAACAAGAACAATAGTGGTCTGATCCCAATCTACCACCTTACAACGTCATTGTTGTGACGCTCTCCCAGAGGTAATCAATTTGGCCTTAAAATGATTTGGGCCTCTCACCGGTTCTTTTCTCTTGGTGGTCTTTGTTGGACAGCTCGAGACATTTGTATTGACCCTGGCTGACCGCCTGGCTCTGTCCCTCTATCATACTCTGTCCAGGTGTGAGCGATGGGTCTGAGATTGGCTCAGCGCCTGCCGCAGCCCTGCACTGTAGAGACAACACAACACTAGAGGTGAGAGGAGGGGGGAAGAAAACATGGCTAATACTGACTTGGACCAGAGTGTGGAGTGTACAGTATAAAGGGAGGTGTTAGTGGGCGTGTTTGGTTGTTGCTGATCTACATTCCCTTGACTGTAAAAAATAAGATAAAGCGTAAATATGATCTTGGAAGATGATGTTAGTTAAATTTGTAATATTTCACAGTTCTACCATCCTTAGATTAAGATACACATCCTTATATAAGATAAACACTCAAATGGAAGAGTGAGCAGGCAAAGTTTGTGGAGCATCTTCAAAGCTGATCTGATGAGGATTTCACTCTACTTTGAAATTCTAGTCACTTCCCACTCATGGATGTCATTAAAGTGTGTTTGCGAGCTCACAAAAGAACCTAAGCGGCTGATTTTCTCCAAGTGAATCTTATCTATTCTCTGCTCCACTGTTTGTATTTGGTGGCAGCATTAAGAACGAAGAAGCCTGCTGTACGAAATGCTGATTTTGATAATGCTGCTCGCTGAAGGATGAAGAGCCCATTTTGCTCTGACTTATCTCAAAAAAAAATTTTGGCTGAAAATTAAGCCTCTCACAATGCCAGACTAATGCAATCGCAACTTCTGACTCATTTGAGGAATTGTGATGCTTTGCCTGGGAGATTGTCTTCACATGCCTTATCATTATTGAGATGAAAACCTCCTACCTCTGGCTCTTTGTGGAGTGGAAAGGAATGCTCATTAGACCGAAATATCATTCTTACCTGTCTGATAAAAGCTTGTAAAAGGCAAAACGCTTGAGAGAAAAACTGTGAGGATGCTGACGTCCCATGTAGCAGTTTAGCAGCCGTACATATGATGTCACTCCAAACATTGAAGTAAATGACGTCATACATACGACCACCAGGCCACCACCAATATCAACAGATGAGCTGAACGAGCTCTCACGTCAAGGCCTCTCCTCACCTATTACAATTCATCAGTACTCCAGAATCAACATGACAGGACCACTCCAAAAAGAAAGTGCACAGCATAGATACATCAGGCACACAACATCTGGTAGGGGACACAATCCAGGCCCTCAATGTCAAGCTTGATGCTGAACAGCAAAGGAAACTGAAGCAGTAAACTTCCACTTCACACTAACATTGAAGAATAGTGGACCAAATGTTTTTTTTCGTATGGGACAATAACTCATGAAAGACATAAATTTTTCTGCAGAAAAAGCTTTTCAACAATCCTAAAGTGAATGATGGGAATGATGTCGATGTGCCTTTAGCCTGTTGGTAACATGATGAATACTGCCTCTGCCAAAGTGTTGAAAATGCCATTTAGGAGAGCAGCAAGTCCATCTAAATTTCAGAGTTGGGGTTGTTTAATTATAAGACCTTCATCAGGCAAATCTGTATATTCTAAAGTGCCAAAATGTGTCACCCGTACATGCTTTATCTGAGATATCACATTTAGGATAAAACATCTGACCGATGACCGCACCACCCCAGTTAATTTAAGTGATGTAATTTCTCAAACACTGGAGCAGACTGTGACTGTGACTCATCCCTCCAAGCTGAGCTAAAATCAGATCATGGGTGCCTCAAATTAAGATTTCACATATGGTGGGCAGGTGGGGACAAACCACCAATGCCCACTCCAATCCCCAACGCCCTAATAATAAATTCAGGAGATACAGACGTACATATGCTTTATTCTTCAATGTAAGAGTGGGATCGAGGTATTCTGAGGCAGGAATGAGCAGCAGCATGTATTTTGTTGCGTTCAGTCATGAAAAGGACAGTACTACCTGTAAATTCCAACTTGGAATGGGCAGAGGCTTTTATTTTGAAAAGTACTGATGAATACTTATGGTCTTAAATCTCAAATTTTTCCTACACATATTTAATATAAATATTTAATATACATTTATGAGAGTAACTTTGTTCTAATGTACATGTATGTTTTGTTTTAGAGGAAGTTTACCTTTTTTTTTCTCAATATATTGCATGTGTTGTACTACTGCTAGCTTGCTTGCTCCTTTTGCTCTGGACTTTTCCCAAGGGAAGTAGGTTTAATTTTATTATATTTAATTTTATTTTTTTTCTAATACAGTTAAGGGTAGTTATGCTGGTGCAGTCACAGGAAGTGCGATCTTTTCCCACAATACAATACAATGCAGAGTTAGACCAACCTACTATGTACAAATAAGAACAAAAGTTTTACATTTTTCATTTGTTTCTATATCCTCACAAAGTCTAAATTCAGGTAAAATGGAAGACACCCCAGACTGTGCATCATTTGCATAAAGAGTGACGATCAGTTACAGTAAGAAGGTGACACATATGCAGTCATGGATCATATATCCCCATTTTCAGGGTTATCCAAGTTTGTAATGAACAAACTGAGCTAATTAAAGGCTATAATTATTAATAAGAAAATGCTGATGAAAATTAAGTAGAAGATTTTTGCTGATAAAAGAAAACCACTAGACCACAACAAATAATATATCTCTGTGTATTTAATGAAAATTTAATCCTATGTTTAAACAAACATGTGCAGCGTACATAATAGACAAAATGAGAAGGAGGACCTTAAAACGTTTACCTCACAGCATTCTCTGAATTTAAAAAAAGAGAGCTTACCATCAGGAGAACCCAAAGGATCCACAGGGAGCCCGCTAACTTCATATCTTCCTCTCCCAGGCAAATCTCTAGAGAGGGAGGAGAGAGCGACATGTTAAAACTATCAGAAAACAAGTTGTCTACCGTGAAAGTGACCGCCTGAACAAACACATGGCTGCATCAAATCAGGATTATAGCCTCTCAGGAGAAGACAGCAACGGCAATCTTTAATCTGAAATGCAAAACACTGCAGCAGATGCACTGCAGTTTGTGACAAATCACACTTTTCTTGTGTATGTGCATGTGCATATCTCACGGAGAGGAAGAGAAAGTCCTATCAATATGTGAAACGAGCATGAAAGAGTAAAGGTTGATTTGTGTCAGCAAAAGGAGACACAGAGGACAGAGACACAGAAGACAGAGACACAGTCAGACGGAAACAGTTGACGGTTATTAATCATCTTGAGCTGAGCCTCCTCCCCTGCAGGACGGCAGCAGCACATCTGCCTGTTTAGTAACCGAGTGCATGAGAGATTAGAATTTGCTTCAGATCTCTTTGCTCTGGCTTGCAGAGTCCCAGTTGGAGGCCCATCACTCTGCAGTTCGAACAGCTAAGACGACCTACTGGTTGTTTTCCACACCCCATAGCAGCCCATGGGGCAGGCTGTTGAGCAGACAGACATACAAGAGCAAGTCCTATAAGTCACTGTGAAAGGTTAGCAGGATTGATAGTATTTGTTTTGGCTCTCAGAAGCATACTGATGGTAGGCTACTTAGCATTAGGATGACAAATAAACCTGGAACTACATTTTGGCAAGAAGTTAAGGCTAAGAGTGCTGATCTCTGACCAGGGATCCCTCAGTTTTCCCTCTAATTTCTCATTTCTCTTCCATGCTTTCCTGAAATACAACACTAGCTGTAAATACAGTACCTGAAAGTAGATATGGGGTCGTTTATTAATATCATTAATATTGGTCCCAGATGTCTTCTAGTTCTGGATCTAGACACAGAAAGAGCCCATTTCTCAATCTCAGCCCCAGGCCCAAATATAGACCTACCCTCTGTCTCATTTGTGATTTCTGTATCAATATGACAGAAAATAGCATGTAACTATTGTGATGATGTGTTCAAAACAATTTTTAAGCAAGGAATGCCAAGTATTACCAGTTCCAGCTTCTGAATCGTTAGGATTTTGTGTTTTCCTTTGCATTATGTGAGAGTAAACTGTATATATTTGGGTTTTGGACTCTTGACAAGATAAAACAAGTAAATTTTATGTATGAATAAAAAAAATTATTAGGTGTAATATGATGCTAATTGTGTATGGACAGTGTTTTGGAGTGTTTTGAAGTTACATTAATTTGGTGGTTCTCACTGTATATCTAGTATTTCCAGTTTGCATGAAATGATACAGCAGATTCATTTCTTTCACACCAAGAAAATAAAATGCTTTACTACACCATCACTAAAACCTGACGATCATGTCTGTAAAACAATTGAAAAAAAGCCCTTTAATATTTCCTAAAACCCAAGGTGATGTCTTCAAATGTTTTGTTTTGAACCAAGTACCCTAACCCGATAGTTGCTGCTTACTTTCAGTTGACAGATGAATTGCTTCAGCAAAAAAAAAAGTATATTTATTTATATATATCAACCCCACATCAGTCTGAATCAGAATCTCAACCCAACCCAACCAATCATTGATTCTACTCAGCCATGTTCAGCCCACTCCTCAACTCTTTAACTGTTCAATATTTACAGTACAATAAAAGACTACACTGTACCCATGTGGACCCAGGATGTTGACAGTGAAGGACAGGGCAACAAACCATTCCATACCCTTGGTTTGACAAGGAGGGAAGGAACAACTCAACAATCAAAGACAGAAGGCAGGGGAGGGAGAAGTATGGATCCCAACATGGTCTCCTGGAGGAACAGATCTATAAAAACCATAATCATGCTGGAGCAGAGGCTTGACACCAGTCAATTATCAGCTAATCACCTCTGGGTGTGCATGAGCATGTGATTCTGTCTAAAAGTGAGATAATGGGATATTCTCTGCTAGAGACGTGTCTCTGCAAGTCAAATAACATCAGGACAACTGACATAAGTGACTTCACATTAGCTACAGAGGTCAAAGGTGAAACTGAGTAGTTTCCTAGAGATCCTTGATTGTGAGGAAGGACAAACAGCAAGGCTCTGTCTAAAGGTTAAACAAGACTCTAGGCAGATTAGACAACACTTGTGGGTAGTCCCTGGAAGGCACTGACAAACTATTTTGTCATTTAAAGATACAGGTTGGTTGAACAAAAAGTTTTACAAACTCTATGGGAATTATATATAGTGTGGGGTTGGAGGTGCAGCAGCTGAGATTATCTAAAACACAAATAATCCCTGGAACAGTTTAACATTATTACACACTCCCAGCCCATCAATAATGCATTTGCCAACAGTACATTTCGTATCTTAATATCTCTGCTGCGCATGTGACAGTTGACTCAAACTCCAACCTCCCGGCTATGTTTGACTTTCAGCGGGTGGAGGTGGGGGTGGTTCTCACTACGACTGTCTTTCTGCCTTGTCCATTAGCTCTTCATACGTCTCTAAACATAGACCCCCGGAGCATTCAGCGGGGCCATTAGGTCCGATGTGATTCAAATAGAAAGGCGTGAAGCATGTGTAGTTCATTACAGAGACAAGACCCCCCTTTAGAGAAGACAAAGGAAAGCACTCAAACGCGATGAGTGAGCGCATAGCTTCAGTGTACCGGCCGCTCTTCAGGAATGCTGTTTAGCCACTGTAGATCAAGTGAAAGGTCAGTCAGTTAAAACGAGGATTTATAAAAAAAAATTTTTTTAAAAACCCATTAATTATAACTTGGATTATAAACAACTTTGAAAATAAAACATTAATTCATGTGTGGTGACTGTCGGTAAAAAGCAGGGACTGTAAATGACTGTAAAAGGAAGGTTATGAAAACAGTTTCGCACTTGAACAGGCCTTGAAGAGACATTGGATTAGTTTACAAAACATCTATTTCTTTGGTATTTTACAAACACAATGAATGTTTTGACTTTAAAACTTATCATATCTTATCTCTCTGTATATGTTCCATCCATTGTCTGCCCTCATTATCTCTATTCTCATTCTAAAACTCAAGTCTGACATCAAATAAATTTGTACTTTTCTTAATGCAAAAGACTTTGGAGTTTGGAGGATGTGATTTTTTTTAAATTGTACTTTTGGTGGTGGCAGCCATAATGCCTTGGGCCTTCTTTTGTCCATCCCAGATTCGCTGTAAAGATTGAATTAAAGTGTCCTGATTCTGAGTAGTGTTAATATCCATGTGTTTTCTCTTTGGTCCTTCTCCTTTTTCTCTCCTTTCCTCCTCTTCCTCCTCAGTTTACCCCTCATCTCTCTTCTTCCTCCCTTCCTTTTTGACATCATTACATCACTCTGACAGCAGAAGACGGAGCCGCTCGTCTCTTCCCTCTGGCAGTGAGCGGTCACAGGCACGGTGACAACACAGATTTGCACAGACATCACATCAGTGATGGAGGACGCGGCAGCTCGATCTGCCCCCCCGACTTCTCACCACATCAGACCCCATCACTCAGTCTGAAGGGAGCAGCCGCACGGACGTGATTTGGCACCCCCGTTCCCAGGCTGCGACGAATGAGCTGGATTGCAATGCAAGTTCAGGTGGATTAATTTGACAAATGGACAGATTGTGGACGTTACCCACAAGGCTGTCTCGTCTAAAGAGCAAAATATTTGTGCTGAGCTATAAGCTCTATTAAAGGATTTACTCTCTCTCTAACTGCTACTGAGCTTTCACAGCTCTGCAAGAACACATCTATAATCACACTTCAGATTAAGTAATACTTTATGCCCCAAATGTCATGACCTTCTGACTGTGCAGAGATTAACAAGCATTGGTGAAAACATCAGGTGCACTGAATGTCTACGTGGCCTCGGGCCTTCTCTGAACACACACAGTGAAGGACCATTTATTGCAGTAGGGCTGCAGGGTGCTCCGACACTGAAACAATACTATTTTATCTGAGTTGAAGGCATTTTACAAATTGTGTGCAGAAATAATTATATATTACCTGTTTAACTGTTGCATATTATTTAAAGGACGGTATTTTTTGCACATTTTAAAGAAATAAATATAAATGAACAACACATATGCACAGGAACAATAAATAAGAATAAAATCCTCTATTATTGTGTACGTCTCATCTGTTATGGTTTCCATCTTATATCACTATATCAATATTTATCACGATATAGGAAACAATCTATGGACAAACGCGATGATAGATAATTTAGCACCTGACAAACATAAAATCATACAAAAATCCACTATTGCCACAAAGCAGCCCTGCTCATTGGTTTGCAACATTGCCCACAATGGCCTAGAATGACTTGATTTATTAAAAGGAAAGCCACTATGCTGTGTACGGTAGAGTCTATCATTTCATGTTATATAATGACACATTGCACACCCCTAAAGACACATTATGTTCCTAGAGAGATTTGAAATATACAACTCCACACTGTGACATCGTGATGGATAATCACATACATCACAAACATTTTTGTTTTTACAAGCTTCATTCAAATGTGAATGAAATGGAAACGTGGCCACCTGGAAAGTAGGTTATCAATGTCTAAATTTATCTCATACTTTGGAAAAACAGCCATTAGATGCTGTTTGGAGGCAACGTGTTAAGACACTTAATGATACATACAAGGCCCCTTAGAATAGTTGACACCAAAATGTAAAAATAATGACTCGTAATGATAAAGTACCGTTCACAGAAGTGATAAACTGTTGAACATTAGAGTGCTGAGCTCGTGTAGACTGATCACTCAGTGTTCACACTCTCTCAGCACATCTCCGAGCGAACATATTTCTGTGTCTGAGTCAAGCTCATGTTGAGGTGAAACAGGTAAGTGCTGAGAGCGGTGAGAACGCTGCAGCTTGACTTGTTCATGTTTTTTGGATTCATCATCTACCTAAAAATATACCAAATGCCAGTCTCTCCAATTAAGGTAAAAAGAACAAGCTTGCACCGTTTCC